GGGCGTTTTTCCCCGCTACCAATGGAGTGAAATCATAGGGCTATGTACGGTTGGATTTGTAGCAGGTCCCAATTATTAAAGGAGACTCACTAGAGTGAATAACATGGGAATGTAATTTATGGTCTTATTTATGAATTTAAATTATGATGTAATTTTATGTAAATTTTTTTATTATAGTAAAAAAAATTAAATATAATTTTTTATAAAATTTTTTAATTGTAATAAAATTAAAATTTATGAAATAAATAATTATTTCATTTTTTTTTTGATTTGACTTTAGAATTTAAATTTTATTACAGTAAATATTTTTTAAAAACAGTCACATTTAATTTTTTTGTTACAGTAAAAAATTTACACAACATCACATCTCAATTCAAATTAAAAACTCAAATCACAGTTTAAATTAAAAACTCGAATAACCGAACATTCTTTTCTTGTACTCTCTACTCTCAGCTTAACTTTTTTTTTTTTTTTTTTTTTTTTTCAAATCAAGAAAAGGGAAATAATGGAGTAGTGATCTTATTTAGCAACATTGTTTTTTTTTGTTTTGTTTTGTTTTTTTTTTTTTTTTGTGGCGATTAATGTTCTCATTGTAGAATCCTAAAATTCAATTAAAAGAATTAAGCAAGATATCGCGCATCTCCCACATAACTCTTTCTGGGTGAAGATCCACAGCGACGGCTAACGGCGAACGCAATCATCACCATTTTATGAACTTTACAAACGAACTCATGGCCGATGATTCCAATATCACTAGTTTCTCAAAGAATCAGAGAATACCTATAAGCTATCTATAGTTTTCCTAACACAAAAACAGACACAAACACCAACGAAGTAAAAGAAACAAGAAGAAGAATCTTCAATCAAGCTCCTTAATATGAGAAACACATCAAAAAAATTACAAAACTCAAACCTATTATTTCAATCATATGAATTTCCAACAATGTTTCATAAAACAAATATCAAACTAATACAAAAAATTTCACAAAATTTTTATCTGAACTTTCAATAATACACAAATTAGTTACCAAAAGACTAATTAATTTTACAATACAAAAACAACATTTTCCATTGCAACCCAGATTCCGGCGAAGACATCGGAGAGACCAGATTCCGTGAAAGGCAAGGAGGTCGACGGAGCGACCCGCAGGGAAGCGAAGACGGTCGGCGCGGCGGAGTCCCAGACGGAGTAAGAGACGCGGCCGACGAAGACATCGTTGACGAAGTCGTCAGCGATGGGCGACGAGCAGAGAATCAAGAGGCCATAGAAGCCATCGACGGTGGCGAAGGAAGAGAGTTCAGAAATGGGTTGAGGCGAAGGGGGAGAGAGGTGAGGTCGAGGATGGAGACTTCACGCTGCCATCGAAAAATTCCTCGCCGGAACTTCATCAACACCATCATCAAAGAACAAGGGCGATCTCCATCGCAAGAAGGAAAAAAAAAAAAAAAAGGAGAAATGTTAAACTCTAGCTTAAAGTATTGTTGGTGGGCAACAAAATTAGTTGGGTAATCGAAGAACATATATGGCTGTATGGGTTTATTGGTAGAAAGATCATATATGGGTTAAGATGGGGATCAGAGATCAACGTCTTTTTTTTTTTTTTTCCTTTTTTGATTTCTGATAAACATAAGCGTCAGTGTTTCAAATCGATAAGGGAAAGTTGCTCCAACGAAAAAAAAAAAAAATCGATAAGGGAAAGACTTTAATTAGATACAATCATCTTAATTTTTGTTTCTACGGGAGTGGTCATTTTGAGCCCTTGGGTGTTTATGATTTCATCCTATCAAAAAATAACTCACCCTACTATTACAGGTATTTGAAACGAGAATTCGTAGTAATATGATTTAAATTATAATCCTAATTTATTATAATATTTTTTTTATAAAAAAAATACACATAAATTAAAAATAATTTTAAATTATAATTTTAAATCCTCAACTAAATTTGTTATTTTATTTTTTAATTAAACTTAATTTTATTTTTTTAATAAGTTTAATTTCTCTTATTTTGTTATTTATCTGAAAAATGGCTAGTGTTTTTCGTAGGTTAAGCTTTTATTACCAGAGACAGAAGGAAGGGATACTGACACAGACACTACAAGGATATTATTTTGGTGAAAAAGATAAAAAGAAAAACGCAAGCATTTCTGAAAAGGAAAAAAAAAAAATCTTTGATAGCGAAAGGAAACAAAAAAACAAAAATAGACAAAAGATTCTAATAGCAAAAATCTTTAGGAAGCTATATTTGAAACTTAACTGCCAAGCAAATTATACGTCCGTTTAATTTATTAATTTAAATTAAAATGTAATTTTACTTAAAATTATTATAATAAAAAAAGTAAATATAATTATTTTTAAATTTTTTTATTACAATAAAATTTAAAATTTAAATTTAAATTGATAAAATAAACCGAAGTTATATATGGCGCATTCATACACAAAGGAGAAACGGCCTAGTCGGTAAAATGGGAAGGATAGGTGGAGCCCACCCATAGTAAAGTCCCCCCAATAGATTGAAACGTTAAATCGAAATCCCAAGCACACGGATTCTTTTCTTTTATTAGATCCTTGAATTGGCTTGAAAAAAAAAACTGTTTTTGATTTATTTAGTATAAAAATCATTTTTAAATCTATTTAGATTGATAATTTTTAAAGTATTTTTAGTTTTTTAAATACTTTTAAAATAAGTCATTTTTTTAATATTTATAAAAAGTTTTTTAATTTTATTTTTAATCTTTTATTTGTAAATAATAAATTAAATATCTTATTCATTTACAACAAATTAAATATCTTATTTATATTTTTTATTATATTACTTTTTATAACAATAAATATTTTTAATTTTTTTTATCTAAATAAATTAAAAAATTCTTCTTAAATATAAAAATATTTTTTTTACTATCTAAACCCTAATAAAAAATTTTAAACTTATGCTTATCTTCTTTTACTATTTAAAAATATAATCACAAACTATCACAAACAGATTATACGGTGGTTTTTTTTTTTCTATTGTCAGGGGTCCCACCACCTTCCCTGTGCCTAACAACCAACACACACACCTATCCTGTTCCCAAACACCCCCTCAAAATTTTTCTCCTCTCTCTCTATATATTAAGAACGGCGTCTGAGCTCTCTTTCACTCGCTCGTTCGGTACAAAGCCTTGCTCTAGACGCTTCTCTTTTCTTTTCGTCTTTCACTACTTGATACTTCTCTTCTGATTCGAGTCTTCATCAAAGTTTCTTTTGACTGTGCTCGTCTGCCCGAAGCTTTTTTTCTGTTTGTTTACCGGGAAAAAGTGTACGTGCGTTGATTTTCCGACTCCTGTCTTGGTTCTTTTGCTTCCTTTGTCTTCCTTCTGATAGAAAAAAAAAGGCAGTTCTTTGATTGGGTCCAATCTCTTCGTCTTCTGGTTCTTCGGCTGATTATCCCACATTTTTCATAGGTAATTTATTTCATTTGTTTGGTGCTCCGCCATTTGTTTGGTTTCTCAGTTCTTTTTTTATTTATTTATTTCTTTTAATTTCATTTCTATTCGGCTGTGAGTTTTGGATGCTAAATTCTTGGTCCTTGTAGAACTATTTTACCTGAATTTGCAGTTCGTTGCGCATAATTTTTTAGTTTTCCTGTATTAAGAGCATTTAAAAGTTCTGGGAATCCGTTTAAAGTTGCTTTCTTTGGTTCAACCTCTCTGATTTCGGTTAAATTGATGGAACAGAATTCTAATTGTAGGAAAATGGCGCACTTTCTAAACGACGATCTTGAGTACGTCGTTGATGACTACTACGACGTCGCTGAATTCGAAGAAGATCCTTTTCCTGAAAACCATCCCCATAAGAACGGCGATGGCGATTATTTCGACTCCGATTTCGAGGATGACTTTGATTCGGTGAGCTTTGTTTCTTTCAATTTCAATTCTATAGTTATTAAGGATGAAATCTTATTTTCTGTCTTTAAATTTGAATACAAGTCTGAATTTATGGTATTAGTCTTTACAGAGCAAGCCAAAGACGGATACTTCAGCTTTGGAAGCTAGAAATGGGAAAGATATACAGGGAATTCCATGGGAGAGGCTCAATTTTACTAGAGATAAGTACCGCGAGACGCGATTGAGGCAGTACAAGAACTACGAGAGTCTCACTCGCTCCCGCGAACAACTCGAAAAGGTTAGCTTTTGCTTATCCTTTCTGGAATTTTTATATGTTCTTGTCTATTCATTTATTTATTTGTCTATATGCTAGTTGTTTTACGTTTTTTCCTCCCTGTGATTTTAAAACATCATACGCGAATTCGAATCTCGGCTAATGCGGTTTTGGAGAATCTGTTTTCTGAAGAATCTTGCTGTGATTTATTATTATTGATGGTTTAGTTATTATGGGATCTGGATATATTTGGCTACTGATGCTTCCTTTTTCGTTGCACTTAGTTATTTATGTACATATTATTTTTCAGTCTCTCTCTTTTTTAACATGTTATTATTTCACCAGGATTGCTTGGAAGTGGAGAAGGGGATGGCCTTCTTTGACTTTCATTTCAATACAAGACTTGTCAAATCCACAATTGTACATTTCCAGGTAGCGGCTTTGTTCCCATCTCTCGATAACCTTTTTGTATGTTTTCAAGCAAAATCTTTTGAGCGCTGGGAAAGGATTAACACCTTTCTTCCCTTCACGCTTTAATGCTTTCTGATCATTTTTCCCCCCCTCAAGATCACTATGTTAGCATACTTTTTTCAGCGTTTCATTGGTGTCGGCCTGGTTCCTTTTCATTCTTTTTGCTTGATTCATATTCATATTTCCATGGTTCATATTTGTTGTTTATAATTTTCTAGTCAATGGTCTTATGAATAATATCCACAAGAATATCTTTGCTGGCTTGTTTACCATATAATTTTTGATTCTTCAACGAGTCTGTGTTGGTCTTTAAGATAGCCTTCTTTTGTAGCTCGTTTGGTATTTAGTTGAACACACATCATTAGTCTTTAGTTTTGCAGGTTACATGAATATTTATTATCGTTCTTGCCTTCTTTTGTAGCTCGTTTGGTATTTAGTTGAACACACGTCATTAGTCTTTAGTTTTGCAGGTTACATGAATATTTATTATCGTTCTTGGATATCTTTTTATGAGTATAGCTCTGTCTCAACCATTATTTAGAAGGTATGAAGTTCATGGTACATATCTTTTTATTATTTGGGACGTGAAATAACTTTGCCTGCAGCTAATCTTAAGATTGAGTAGAGCTCCAGCGTAACCATCACCATGTAGACTATCACAACAAATTGATCTTATTGAGTAGAGCTCCAGCGTAACCATCACCATGTAGACTATCATAACAAATCGATCTTATTGAGTAGAGCTCCATAAGATAGAGCTCCAGCATAACCATCACCATATAGATTATCATAACAAATTGATCTTGAGGCCTTCAAACTGGCGATTCACTTGATCCTTCATATGAAGAGTTGTTTTATGCTTTCCAACTTATCTTTTTTCTCTATTGTAGCCAAAAGAGAGGGTTACACAACTACTTGCTTTACAAAATAAAAATAAAAATAGTAGTAGTATAACATGCTCGTCAGTTTTACTTAAAAAATTCCCTTGTTTTCTCTTTAACTTGGACACATTCTTTTCAAAAACTACCATTTTTCTTGGCCAACTTGCAAAATCTTATGGTACTTAATGGCATCTTTATGAGGTTTGCATTCATGGGGTACTTTTTTGCAGATTATTTGAAGGATGCTTTTATAGTTGTAACATTGTACAAAGAAATCTTTTTAAAATAATACAAAAGATCAAACTCAAAGGCACAATCTTGAACATGTCAGATATTCCTGTCTATGGATGAGATCGTTTGACGCCTAATTTTGGTATATGGGTGCACAACCTTTTGAGCTAATTCAATGTCGGAGATCGTGATTGTGGTAACTTCCAAGGTGTAAGACAATTGTATAAGTTTTGATATGTGCTGAAAACATTTGTACTTTCAGAAGACATTTAGTTGGTGAATTTGTTCCCTAGGTGTTAGTGTAGCTTTTTAGGCTTCCTTAAATGATATTTCCCAACCACGAAAAATGTAGATATATAATCGTTTGGTTTCTTGAATATCTTCTGCAGTAGCCACAATATGCTTGATGCCTTTTTCCACGTGTTGATCTTTGTGTGTGTTGTTGGGGTGGGGGGGATGTTTGTCTTGGTTTAACTTTTGGCATGACAGTCGATGTCTGTAGAGACGGGTAGCAGAGCAATTTTGTTGCATTTTCGTTGATTTTGCTGCATGGATTTATCTGTATAAGACTATTTCTCACTAATTGATTTGGTTAACATTCCCTGTTTCTGTCTCTAAATATATCGTTTCTGTTGACTGTTGAATATGATTCTGCGGCTTTAACCCCCTCTGTGGCATTTGGTACTGCTATTTCTTTTTATTTCAGCCTTTAAAGCAGGGTGGGAGTTTTAACTGAGCAGCTGGCGCAGCGTTGTTTATATGGTATGATAGGAAAATATCTGAGCATTTAACAGGCCTATGTAGCAATTCCTGGAACTAAGTATCATGATGTGTGTACAGCTCATGAGGGGCCTTATTGACACGTAGCCCGGCTAATCAGAAGCGTTTGGAGTATCCACAATCGGATGCTTCTCCCATATTTCTTTGATGTGGTTCTGCTTGCACATGTTTGTGTTAGATCAACTGTTATTTGATGTTTTCTTTCACCCCCAAATTGTGTTTTAAACTATTCTCTTGAACATGTTTGTACAAATCTTTGAAAATTCTTGAGTATGAACACCACCCGGCGGGACGATAACCAGTTGTGTTTTGGTGTATTTTCTAGTATTCACTTACTCGTTTATTTAATATAATCTGCATTCAACAAAACATCTACCTGTATCATTTTGTTTCCTTTTTGTGGCTTTTCATTCTTTGTCAAGTCTTAGAATTTGCATGTCAGCTAATGCCCCTAAATGCATGCTTGCTCACATGGATCAGAATTAGTTCGTCTTTCAATATTGCACTTCTCTTCAGTTACTCCTTGGCCCATGTCTGTAGAGACGGGTAGCAGAGCAATTTTGTTGCATTTTCGTTGATTTTGCTGCATGGATTTATCTGTATAAGACTATTTCTCACTAATTGATTTGGTTAACATTCCCTGTTTCTGTCTCTAAATATATCGTTTCTGTTGACTGTTGAATATGATTCTGCGGCTTTAACCCCCTCTGTGGCATTTGGTACTGCTATTTCTTTTTATTTCAGCCTTTAAAGCAGGGTGGGAGTTTTAACTGAGCAGCTGGCGCAGCGTTGTTTATATGGTATGATAGGAAAATATCTGAGCATTTAACAGGCCTATGTAGCAATTCCTGTAACTAAGTATCATGATGTGTGTACAGCTCATGAGGGGCCTTATTGACACGTAGCCCGGCTAATCAGAAGCGTTTGGAGTATCCACAATCGGATGCTTCTCCCATATTTCTTTGATGTGGTTCTGCTTGCACATGTTTGTGTTAGATCAACTGTTATTTGATGTTTTCTTTCACCCCCAAATTGTGTTTTAAACTATTCTCTTGAACATGTTTGTACAAATCTTTGAAAATTCTTGAGTATGAACACCACCTGGCGGGACGATAACCAGTTGGTGTTTTGGTGTATTTTCTAGTATTCACTTACTCGTTTATTTAATATAATCTGCATTCAACAAAACATCTACCTGTATCATTTTGTTTCCTTTTTGTGGCTTTTCATTCTTTGTCAAGTCTTAGAATTTGCATGTCAGCTAATGCCCCTAAATGTATGCTTGCTCATATGGATCATAATTAGTTCGTCTTTCAATATTGCACTTCTCTTCAGTTACTCCTTGGCCCTTGCATAGTATAAATTTGAGGACTGGAGTCTCGCCCTCGTACTTATTTGTCTTGTACATTATGCTTCTAGTGGCCAACATCCCTCGTACTTATTTGTCTTGTACATTATGCTTCTAGTGGCCAACATTTCTTTTCCTTTTTCTTAGCTGTGAATTAGGCAATTATATTTTGTAGTGGTTTTACATGCATTCATGGGTGATTGAATGAAGTTACTGATGATGCCATATTTTGTCTCCCTTCTTGTGTAGCTGAGGAATTTGCTGTGGGCAACATCAAAGCATGATTTATACCTTATGCAGAACTATTCTGTAATGCATTGGTCATCCTTGCTCAGGAGGGGCAAAGAAGTACTAAATGTGGCGAAGCCAATTGTGCCAACTCTGGTAAAGATGAGATCCTTTGTTAAAACAGTACAAAGCATTTCTTTTTCTACTTTTTTTTTTTTTTTTTTGGTAAACGTTCTCTCTTAAAGCTGAGTCCTAACTAATATGGAAGCACATTTACAGAAGCGCCCTGGATTGTTAGAACAGTCACTTTCTCGAGTGCAGATAAGCACCATGGCTGTTAAGGACAATCTAATGGTAGCTGGAGGCTTCCAGGGTGAGCTTATTTGCAAGGTATGGAATCGACAACACGGGTCCCTTCTGAATTTTGCATGAGCATCTAATTTGTGATTTCTAAATATTCATCTGTTTATTATGGAACAGTACTTGAACCATCCAGGAGTTGCTTTCTGCACAAAGTTAACAACAGATGAGAATGCGATTACCAATGCGGTGGAAATTTACTGCGATCCCAGGTATAGTTATTTTCTGTATAAAGGTTGAACATAATGACCGTTTCACTTCATTTATGACAAATGTAACTTCTCTCTGTAGCGGCCCGAGAAGAGTTATAGCTGCGAACAATGATGCTCAAGTTAGAGTTTTTGATGCTGAGAACTTTGCTTTCCTTAATCAATTCTCTTTTGATTGGTCTGTGAATGTGAGTCTACCGTTCGAGACACTCTTTACAAGCCTGGATTCTCTATATTTCGTCACATTCTCATATTCTTCGCTTCTTTTGTTTCGATTCTTTGCAGAACACTTCTGTAAGTCCTGATGGAAAGTTGCTTGCTGTCCTTGGTGATAGCGCTGACTGCTTGATTGCCGATGCCCAATCTGGAAAAGTAGGCCATCTTCCTCTTCTTTTTTTTAGCTTGCTTTTTTTCCACCTTTTTTTTTTTACTGAACAGTAGCCAATCAAAATTTGATGGGTCTGGCAGGTTACTGCGAGCCTCAAAGGGCACTTGGACTATTCTTTTGCCTCAGCTTGGCACCCAGATGGACGTATTCTGGCTACTGGGAACCAGGACACTACCTGCAGATTGTGGGACATAAGGAACCTTTCGGAGTCTCTAGCAGTGATTAAGGGAAGAATGGGGGCGATAAGAGCTGTCAAGTTTACTAATGATGGCCGGTTTCTGGCAATGGCCGAGCCTGCGGACTTTGTTCATATCATCGATACTCAATCTGGGTATGTCAAAGGACAAGAGATTGACATATTTGGTGAAATTGCTGGAATATCCTTCAGCCCCGACACCGAAGCTCTCTTTGTTGGCGTTGCGGATCGCACATATGGTAGTTTGTTAGAGTTCAACAGGAGACATTTCAACCAATATCTAGAAACGATTTTCTGAAGTCCATTCATTGGCAAATACAAGTGTACATTTGACAGAGAACTTGCGTAGCTAAGTTTGCAGATGTAGTGTTTGTATAGTTAATAGATAGGCCAGGACCATTGGGGGAGCTTATTATAGCTTGTACTCCCTCCATAATTCTTGAAGACTCGGTAGTTCCTTTGGTGGGTTATTCTTTTGAACTCTGTGATTTTATTTTTTCGCCTTTGTAAAGCCCGTTGCGGTTGCTTTTGTATATTGTATAGCCTATCGTTCCTTTCCCTTTCCAAAACACTCGTTAGTTTTCGGCGTGTAGATTTCTATGGATATAAAACAGCATAAACAAAATCGTTCGTTCAATGTTGTGGAGTAAGGATATGATATTAGATATGTAAGAAGACGTAGGATCTTCCGTTCTTCCTCTCGACTATCCATTTTTATTGTGGAAACTGTAATGAAAACGACCTACAAATGCTTTATGAGCAGTAGCGTGCCGCCCATTCTTTCGATTTTCTAGGTTTATTGTCCTTGGAAGTTAATAAAATAGTCTTATCGAGAACTAAAACAAGAAGACCTTTGCATGCTTGGCTTACATTTGACATTTCCTTATTTTAGTAGTAGAAGGTTTGAAATTTGAATGGTAGCCAGAGTGCGAGAATATTTCAAAGTAGCATTTATATGAATAGATACTCTAATTCAGCGCCGGAAAAGAGCCGGCATTTCTTTTTGAAAAAAAAATACATATATATTTATATCTGAAAGTGATTTCTCGTAGTGACTTTTTATGAAGTAACCATAATTATTATATGGATAATTAATTCCCCTTGGAAATCATGTCTCTACACGATGATGACTTGCATCTTCCAAACCTAATCTAATTTTGTAAGCAATGAACAGTGAAGTTAGACTATTGGGCTACGGCAGCCTAAGCCCAGGCAGGAGTTGAAGTTTTGGTCCACTACTAATAGCAGGACCACTGCTAAAGCCTAAAAGTGCGATCCCAAAACGACATGAGGTAGGCAACATTTAAGCAATTTTTTACTTTTCACTTTTTTTTTTTTTTTTTTTTTTTTTTTTGGGGTTGGGAAAATCGGAAGCAATTATTGACTTATTTGCGTTTATGAAGATTGTCAAAAATGGTCATTCCAGTTGAAGAAAGCAGCTTTGGGAACTGACCTACGATGCCTACTGGTCTTGTTCTTTTCACGTATAGATTCACAATTTAAGTTTATTTATTACAGTATTTTTTTTTATAAAAATTTAAATTTAATTCTTTTATTATAATATTTTTTTCACATAAAAAAATTTGAGTTGTGATTTGAAAAAAATCACTCAATCAATAAACCGATGAAAGGTATAAATAGGTCATCATTCACTTATCAGATATATTATGGTATAATATTTTCTATTGCCTATCGTAAAATAATCTACAACTGAGCAAATGTCATTGAAGAAATCAAATGGGTTTGGTCAATCTTTAATAAATTGGACTAGAAAAAAATAAAATTAAGTTTGAATTAATAAGTAGTCCTCAATTTCTCACTGAAAGAATTAATCAGGTCCAATATGAACAGCGGAAAATAGGTCCTTTCACCTATATATGTTGCTTAATAACTGCTGATATTTGTTACTGATGGAGCCCTTTTTTCATGGATAGTTAAGAGTGATCGTCAACCGAATAACTGATCCTAGTAAACGGTTAAACAAACATTGTACTACCCAGTTGTCATATAATACTCGTGATTAAATAAGTCATTTTTATTAACATAGCATCTAAACGAGATTAATTTGTGTTTAAAAAAAGGAAAAAAAAAAAAAAAAAAAAAAGTGGAACAAAGAGGAGGGAAGTGATCAATGACCTCTTATAAAACTTTCTGCCATACTAGACAGAGAGGGGGTGGGGTTAAAGAAAGAGGGGTGGTAGGATCTCCAAGGCTGCCTAGCGCGTCATTGGGCTCTCAGTCCTAAAATTTGGCGCTCATGCTCGTTTTATGGATTTTCTAGTGGTGGAAATAGTGTCCAGCGAGGAATCCTACGTGGGGGTGAATCAAAAGTGGGACAGAGAATGGAGGCAATTGATTTGGAGCGTCAGTCTCCGCAAGTCTAAAAACCAGTGACTGAGATGTTGGATCCTTAATCTAATATTGAGTTTGTATGTGAATAATTATGTGTTGCAGACTGTCATATAAGATTAAGCTCATTTAAAAGTGGCTTACGAAAGTTTAGGTAATTTGGACTTTAATGTATCTGATAGGGTGTGGGCCTTTAACGTGTAAAAATTTAAGGGTAATTTATATTATTATTATGAGCTAAAATAAAAATACCAAAAGATAACATGAAATTTATCTATATATAGTGATTATAGTCTCCAGATCACACGTGGCATTCTATTCTTTCTGACATCCCACCATCAGAGAGAGAGAGCAATGAGAAAGCTAAAGGATTCTCTATGAAAACGTGTTAATCTGGAAGACAAACCTCAAGACTCTAATTTATCGTCACGGATTCAAGTACGCTTCCGCTTATTGGTAAATTGATTATTGGTGATCCAACATGTATGTTTCCTGGATTTTAAGTAATGGTCTTCACTAAAGAATATTTTCTAACAAGTGGTATTAGAGCCTCTTCATGTTGAATCATTGAGAACAATTTCAGATGATCTTTGAGGATGAATTTCATAATTTTTTTTCTTTTTTTTTTTTGGATAAAAGAAGTTGACTGGCAACAATCTTTCTTGCTGTCGGCACAGTAGATTCTGGACACGGCCGTGAGGCTGCGCCGACAAGCACAGCCGCGGTAGCATAAAAAGTGCGACGGTCTTTTAGTCCCCACAAAAAAAATTATGAGAAACTAAAATCGTTTGGCCGGTGGTAGTCCTTTGCCACCGCCGCCGTCAGATATTACAGGCCGCGGCCATTGGGCCACGCTGGAGAGGAACAACCGCTGCCGTCTGGCCGCGGCAGTTGGGAGTGGCAGCCATTTGGCCGCTTGGTTCCTCTAGAGGTCGAAAGACCCTTACGGTTGTAACAGGCTCTGGGCTCTGGCCCAGAGCTGTAACATGAAGTTGCACGAGCCTAATTAGGCTGTGATTGAAGGTTAGCTGCGAGCTTAAAAAAAGAAGGAATAAGACCTTCAGGCCTTTTGGGATGACACGGGCACAATTGGGCCCCTGAGTCAGGAGAAAAGGATGGCTGGAATCAGGATATGGGTTAGGTTGACCCGACCTGGTCCAGCCTTGACAAAGTCAACAATTGACTGTTGACTTTGATCGAATTTTTTTTTCTAGTGCAATTTAAATTTGAATATTGGTATGTTTATATATATATTGAGATGAATTAATTGAGCAAGATGTCACCAAAGTGACATTTATTGTGGAAATTAATTTATTTTAAAATATAAACAGTTGTGTGCATGTAACTTATGTGAATATGGACCGGCCCAAAAGAATGTCGATATTTAACAAAATTGCATGAGAATCTGTGGTAATAAACGCATGATGATTATTCAGTTTTATATGTGAACAATAAATCAGCCCAAAGGAAGATTTATTGTTTGACGTGTTCTTATTATCAATGTTTGATTACTACACCAAGATATCACTTGCAAGTTAATATTTTTGTCCAAAGACAAAATATTAATGGAGTGCCCGGTATCTTGAGATAGGGTTTGCCTTTATTTAAATATTATTAGTATTTTTGTTTTGAAACTTATATGAGCTTTTGTTTGTTTGTTTGTTGTTATCTGGATTTAGCTACAAACACTCCTGCTAATATTACTACCAACATCAACTTTATTCCTATGTTAGATGGCACTAACTTCAAGTCATGGCAAGAGAACCTCTTGATAGTTCTCAGAGTCATGGATCTCGACCTAACGTTAAGGGTTGTTTCTCATGCACCTCTTACAGATAAGAGTACTTCTGATGAAAATAGGGATATGGAAAGTTGAGGGAAATCAAATCACATATGTATGATGATCATGAAGAAGGCCATTCCCGAAACATTCAGGGGCACAATGTCTGAAAAGATAACTATAGCTAAGGAGTTCCTTGCAGACATTGAAAAGATGTTTGTCAAGAACGAAAAAGCTGAAATAGTTACGCTTTTGACAAGCCTAATTTCAATGAGGTATAAGGGCAAAGGCAATATCAGATAGTACATCATGGAGATGTCACATCTTGCTTCAAAGTTGAAAGCACTTAAACTAGAACTCTCTGAGGACTTACTAGTGCATTTGGTTTTGATATGCCTTCTGACACAGTTTAGCCAGTTTAAGGTGAACTACAACCGTCAGAAAGAGACTCGGTCTCTGAATGAGCTTATCTCACACTGTGTTCAGGAAGAGAAAAGGCTGAAGCAAGATAAGGCAGAGAGTGCTCATATAGCCTCAACCTTTAAAAACAAGGACAATGGAAACAAAAGGAAGAAAGATAAGGAAGCTGCAGATACGACACCTCAAAAGAAACAGTAAAAGAAACTGGCTCAATCGGAAGGTACTGGTTGTTTCTTCTGTGGAGCTAAAGGACATAAGAAGAAGCATTGCACCAGTTACCACGCATAGCGTGCTAAGAAAGGTATGCTTCTTAATTTGGTTTGTTCTAAGGTCAATTTAACTTCGGTACCTAGACACACATGGTGGATAGATTCTGGTGCAACAACTCACATCAGTGTGTCTATGCAGGGGTGTTTGGTTTGTTGAAAGCAAGTGATGGTGAAAGATACATCTATGTAGGCAATGGTAAGATGGTTCAAGTTGAGGCAATAGGAAAATTTAGATTATTGTTAAAGACTGAATTTTATTTCGATTTTAATGAGACATTTATTGTACCGTCTTTTAGACGGAATTTGATTTCTACTTATGCTTTGGACAAATCTATTTACTCTTATTCATTTGGGAATGAAAAATTTAGTTTGTTTCATGATTCAAAATTGGTTGGTTCTGATTCTTTGTGAGGTTATGATAATCTTTATTTGATTGATACAATGGCTTCATTTAATGAATCATTGCAATTAAGTACACGAAGTATTAATAGAAAATTAACCAATGAGAATTTAGATGCGTTATGGCATAAGAGATTATGTCATATCTCCAGACGGAGAATAGAGAGACTTGTGTCGAATGAAATTCTAGACCCCTTAGATTTTACAGATTTTGATTTTTGTGTTAACTGTATTAAGGGGAAACAAACTAATAAAAGGAGATTTGAAGCCAACAAGACTTTGGATGTCTTAGAACTTATACATATAGATATTTATGGACCATTCCCTACGGTTGCTTGGTATGGTTAACAATATTTTATAAAGTTCATAGACAGTTATTCTAGATATGGCTATATATATCTCATTCATGAAAAGTCACAATCGACAAAAGGATCAAAAGCGTCGGATCTGACCGTGGTGGTGAGTACTATGACAGTTCATGTGAACAACGTCCAGGATCGTTTGCTCAGTTCCTAGAGGAATGCGGTATTGTCCCACAATATATT